TCCATAGGGATCGATGAATGGCTAGAGCCGCGCAATGACGATCGCATGGGTTTCGTTCCTTTCTTTTTTTTTTGCATTAATGCGCATTCAGCATGGATAGCAATTTATCTCTATATCTCTACACACTGAATGGGTTTTACGAGGTATCTCTGAGCTCTTCCTTCTCATTCGCCCCCCTGTCTTATCTGCATAACAAAGGCTTATCATTCTTATCATCATCCCTGTTGTGCACGGGACAGGTCGGGGACAAATCTGGGGATTAAGAAGACGTCGGACCTGCATTTCTTTTGCTCTCGGTGTCTTGTGTTTTGCGTTGTTGAGCTGTTCCACCCCTTGTGTTGTGGTGTGACATCAATCTATACACCGAAAGGACTGGGGCTCGAACCCTCCTTATATTGAGAACACCCATCTCACCGATCGTCTTCAACTATGAAGCTACGCATCTCTAGGCCGCATATACGGGTCTCGCAGGGCGTGTCCGCATTTGCAGCAGGCAATGCACGATGGACAAACCGTGATCTGGACCCGATTGCTAAAAATGCGCGCAAATGGGGTGTATCCAGTATAATAGGTACGGTACTTGTGCTTATCTTTTGCAAACAGCAGACTGGAGCTAACAGAACACGTCATTAGCATATTGGATCTCCGATGCCTTGAACGCAGCAACCTGGCAATTTGCGAGCGGTATGATTGCCGTCGGCCTTACCTATCGTGAAGCCCTAGGCATCGTCGCCTTGTCCTTCTTTATCATATCGTTGGTTATCGCAGCAAACGGTACTGTAGGCGCCATATACCATGTTCCATTCCCTGTGATTGCTCGTGCCAGCTGGGGCTTTTGGGGCTCATATATCGCCATCATCTCACGAGTCATCCTTGCCATCTTCTGGTTTGCTATACAAAACGTCAACGGCGGAAATGCTGTCCGTGTCATGATTGGAGCAATCTGGCCAAGTTTCTTGGATCTTCCAAATGGTATCCCCGAGTCACAGGGAATTACGACAGCCGGTATGGTCGGGTTTCTGATCTTCTGGTTGATCCAGGTTCCGTTCCTTTGCATGCATCCAAATAGGCTGCGCTGGTTATTTACAATCAAATCGATTCTGGTTCCCATCGCTTGGATCGCTATCTTGATATGGTCGTTTGTCACCGTGAAAGGCGGTGGTGGCGTATTCGCAAAGCAGGCTCCAACAGCCTCCGGGTCCAAGTACAGCTGGCTTTTCTTGGCCAATATGACATCGGTACTGGGAAACTTTGCCACATTATCTACCAATATGGCGGATTTCACTCGATACTCCCGCGTCAGTCCCCGTTGGCAGCTCCTATATATCCCTATGCTGCCTATCGTATTCACCTTCTTTTCCTTCATTGGCATCGCCGCCTCGTCCGCTGGTCAAGTTCACTATAATCTCTCGTCTATCCCATGGGATCCAACAGTCCTGATCAGCTACTGGCCCAACCGTGCGTGTCGCTTTTTCGGCGCAGCTTCCTTTGCACTAGCCTCCCTGGGCGTGAACATCTCGGCCAATTCTCTTTCGGCCGCTAACGATTTCACCGCACTGGCACCACAATATATCAACATCCGACGAGGGCAGATCCTATGTGCCTTGCTGTCGTGGTGTCTTGTTCCCTGGAAGATCCTCGAATCAGCAGGCAATTTCCTTACTTTCATGTCTGCATACGCCATCTTCCTTGGTCCTATTGCTGCAATCATGATGTTTGACTATTGGGTTATCAACCGCCGTCGATATGACTGCCTAGCTCTATACCAGCCTCATAACCCGAGATATCGCTATACATTCTCCATCCCTGGGTTCTCAGGTAAGAGTATGTCCGGCACAAACTGGCGCGCCGTGTTGTCTTTTATTGTTGGTGTCGTGCCGAGTCTTCCCGGACTGATTAACTCTGTGAACTCTCATATCGATGTCGGCGTCGGTATACATCCATATGAGTTCGGGTGGCTGTTGGGCTTCGTTGCGACATCTATTGCATATCTTTTGTTATCATGGCTATTTCCTGCGCACGAGACTCGGATTGACCGTGCTGTTCTACCTGACGAGGTATACGATAGAGGCATGGTGGTCGAAGGAATGGAAGCAGATGACCCAGACAAGGATGTGGTTCCTGATACACAGGAGAAACGTATGGATGTGGAAAAGGCTGTCTAGGCTTCTGATATCGATGTGAATATCCATCTGGCCCGAGCTGATATGAGATGTCATATTTGATGATAATATGTTGTCCTTTAATGCATTTTTTTCTACCTTCATGTTGCTGCCAGAATGGTTATACTATCTTGCCTGATATTTGGTTACGGCACTCTTATGGTCACATGGTGGCGACAGTACCCAGATGAATACATCATCTTCGTTTCTATATGTACAAGTATAGTCGGCCACTTATGCATCCGTCCGTGGTCTTCTTCGTGGTCTTCTCAGGTAATCTCCTCGGTAGACATTTTAGATGTCTGGTTATATAGATATTTTCTGCCGCTTCTCAGTTCGTTGGGCAGACAGCAGAAAAGGACGAAAAAGGGCTTACCTTGTGAGATGGACTTTTCTATGTATAACCTAGTATTTGCACCCATATTTGTTTGACCTCCCAGGGGTATTTCATCAAACCAAGCATTATTTGATGTATTATCATTTGGCGATATGCGAGGAAGGAAGAAGACCTTGTTAGAGCGCACCCTATGGTATTGATTAGTATTGGATCAGGTTTAAAATTGGTCGCGTATAGACATGGGACTTTTGTCTGCATATGCTCAAGCACCCCAGGATGGAATAGAAGTATACGACTCCCTGCAAAACCTGTGAATGATATGTGCTATGCATAAGGGGCTCCACTCTATACTTAGAAACCAAGGGGAATATCTCCACAGCCACACGCATGGTCCACAGCCACACCCGCCCACCGTTGACACCTGAATGACTCACAGCGGAACCATGGATTTCCGATCCAAGGTTGCACGGTCAGACCTCCTGTCATGTGCACATCTGGGCAGTTGCCTGCGGAATACGAGAAGGGCCGATATCGCTGTTAAGCTGTATTTGGATTGACTATCCTATCCGAGGGCGAGAAACCCTCGGGGATGGCATATACCATCCCCTAGACGGATGAGTTGATACAGGTATAATCAGGGCAGACGCCCGCTTCCCCCCTCCAATAACCAGAGTGAATAAAGACCATAACCATCCCATGCCGACCACACTCCGTTCGCAACCACGAAAGTAGATAAAAGAAAGGGAAAAGTGAGAGAACAGATGCACGATGCAAGTAGAAGACACGCCAGTCATCACCACATCGTACACTTCGTGGGAATCAAACGCCCAAGTCCCAGTACGTGCGACCGAGTACCCGAGAATAGGGGTATGTACAACGGGGTCGGTTCGCCGTAGGGAAAAAAACACAAACAGAAAGACGGACTTTTCTTTTTTCGCCTCACACAAAGGAAATAAGAAAATAAGGAAAATCCGCTAATAAATCGCAAGCTAATTCAAGTACTCCGCAACACGGAGGCTTGGGTTCAACGCGATCTTGCGTGCTTCGCTGCCACAGCAGGCACGTTTCATGCCTGCTGGTCCAGAGACTGGGCCAGTCCGCACGGGGGCAATGGAGGACCCACGTTGAGTCATGAACGAGCGTGGAAACTGTCCATCAGGCAACACGGAGTGGTCTCCGGAGGCCCCGAGGTTGATCAGATGGCGCACATGGTTTTGGAGCAAGAGATCGTCGGATCCAGTACGTCCACGTTTCCGGCACTGGCGCCGTTCGGGAGTAGCGCCGGAAAGTTCGCAGAGACTCTGAGCGGCCTCGCTCAGGCTGGAATCCAGGGAAAAATTAGACAAGTCTGGGACCGAAGAACCCATGGAACTGGGATATTCAGGAGAGCTGTAGACGCCGACCAGACAACTTTCGTCAATAGGAGAGGCAATGGCCAGGGTCTTACGGGACTCCTTGAGGGAATTGCTTGTGCAGCGCAACGTAGCCTTAACAGCCAGGCGAGATGGCGCCGAGCCAGAAGTACCTGAGGCGTTGGACGAGACTGATGACGACCGTGAAGAGCGGGACGACAGGGTAGAAACGTCCGAAACCATCGAGTCAGGTGACGATGCCGAGGAGGTCGAGCGAGCCAAAGATGACCGACGAGCCGCAGTCGGGTAACCATCGTACGACTGAGTCCGAGGGCAGAATGACAGGGGCGGGCGCTGATCGAGTGTCGATCGCGCCATGCACGCATTCTGCGCTTGAGACATGGCCGTACAGATGGATGGGCGGCGGGTGTTATAAGCAGCCACACTCGCAGCAGGAGTGGAGGACACTTGAGATTGGGGGGTCATCTGGGGCGTGGGAAGCATCATAGGCCGTGGAATACTAGGCAAAGCCAAGTTGGCATAATCCATACGCGGAGTCGGCTCCAGGGTGCGCGGAAGACTCCGAGCGTAAGTCGGAGTCTGTTCGCGCGACGAGGAGCGCACAGACTCATTGATTGGCAGACTGCGAGGCGAGGGGTATTCTGACAGACCGAGATCCATCCCACCCATCGCCGAGACTGGGGTCATGGGCTCTGACTCTACATAGTCCAGTTCAGGAGTGAGTCTGGGTAGGACAGTCTGCCAGCACTGACCTTTAGTAACCGGGGGTCCACCGGCACCAGGGGTCAGCTTCAAGACCAAATCAGTCCAGCGCTGAAACGTCGCTTCATCGATGTGCAGGCGCCATCCGACAGCCTTGAGGAACATAAGCTCATTCTGGTTAATCTCGAGAGTATTAAGGCCGGAGATCTTGCTCCAGGCACGAGCGGAGTAGTTGCGATCCTGCAGATACTTCGAAGCGAGAATCAGCCCTGCCAGGAACATCCGGCGTCCACACTGCATTGCCCGCAAAGGCGACTGATCCCGAGGCTGCTCCTTGGTGAAATCATGCGTGGGCACGTGGGGCTTGATTTTAATCAAATAATACAAGGCCACCTGCAAGGTACTGTAGCTAGTACGCGAGCGGCGGAGTGTCTCCTGGATAAAAGTGCGGAGAGGAAGAACCCCTTTAGATCCGGTCGCGGCATCACTGCGGGATGCTGCGGCAGAAAGGGGCCAGATGGTCTCAACAATCTGTGATGCGGTGTCTTAAAAAGAAGGGGGGTATTATTTAGCTGGGCGTACAAGACATACTTGAGGAGTCCTTTTTCAAGACTTACCGACGAGGTTGTCGACGAAGTTCACCTTCCGTTCCGACTGCCGTAGCAGACATGGCGGAGGGCGCGCACTGGCGGCGCTGGAAGAATAACTGTTAGTGCGCCGAGGATGCGTTCGCAGCTCGGATGGCACTACACCGTCCACCTTGGAAGCAGGTCCCTTGGCGAAAGCCCGGGGGCATGCTCCGTTCGGATTTCTTCCCTGACTATTACTCTCATTTTCCCAAATCACGTCAACCGGGTTGGTCGATGTCGATGATATCGAACTCTGCGAGGAGACGCAATCGAGGGAGAATACAGATGAGGAAGAGGAGGAGGCGGAGGAGGAGATCGAGGATGCATAGGGGTGAGCGTGGTGAGACGCTGTCAATTGAGAGCTTGGGTTTGAGAGGTTCATCCCCAAGACGTCCATCCCTGACATATCCGGAAGTACTGTGGAGTTCATATAGGGCGTTTGTGTGAACAAAGTTCAAATGAAGACACAACCGGATAAAAGGCGAGATGGTCCGATTTTTGGAACCGTAGTGTCAAGATACCGTTAAGCAGGGAACCGGGAACGAGAGCCGAGGAGACAGAAGCCGTCTTTGCGACAAAGGCGACGGCAGACCTTTAAACGTAGGGAGCCAGGTTGATAGCCAGACGTAGAAAAATAAGCGGAACCGCCGGGTGTAGCGGCTAAAAAAGAGACCAAAGGGGAAACAATCAACTATAAAGACAAGAAAAGGAAAACGTATTCACGATCCGATCAACCAAGTGCTTCTGATATAAGAACCAAAGCAGGGGCACGTGGTAGGATGACTCTTTTTCCGAGTTGTATTAGATGGAGCCAGAGACGGTGACGATGCGGAGGTCGGTAACAGCAACACAGGCGATCGGAACGGATGAATCAATAAGGTACATTTTGAAATGAGTCGTGTGATAGAAAAGAAGTTATATCAAGGCACCCAACGGACCGTGGACAGGCAGAACCAGGCTGGTGGCTGTCTGAACAAGGCAGTCGTTGAAGCGGCTAGGCAGAGAGGGAGGCGAGAGTCGGGGGAGGGGAGAGGCTGAGGGGAGGCGAGATGGGGTGTTAGCGGAGGAGTCAGAAGAAAAGAAGAGGACATTTATGGAACGACTTTACCTATGACTCTTTTTCAAAATCTGTTTTTAAGTTGACTAAGAGAAGAGATGGCAAAAAAATTGGGAAGGGGAAAAGAGAGTCACACTGTGGCGAGAAGAAGTGGGTGGCGGGTTAGGAAGATGCCGGGAGGCGCAAGGACCACACGTATATAGAAATAGAATATAGTCAAATATTCTACTTCTTTGTATATGATATAAAATCCTACAAAAGTAGAATCAGGAGAGGAACATTCTGAAGATGGGTGAGAGGAGGAAAAACCCGGATGCGGCGAAGAGACTCCGAGATAGGAGAGACTGGAGTGACTGGAGTGGTACGACGGTGACTCACGTTTCTATCACCTTTTTTTATATACTATTAATATGCTATTATATTCTATTAGATGGCCTAATATCTTCTATCTTATGTATATTCTATATCTATTATCATACTAATCTGGAATATAACATGATTATCATTATCTACAGAACATAAAGGACCATTACTTAGAATGACTTGACTATGCAGTGCCACCTTATGTCTGTGTAGCCACTCATAGTGTGATTAATCTTATTTTTAAGAGAAGAAAAGTACCATGTTAACAAATCAGCAAGGGAAAGGTTCAACAATAACTATAATCCATCCATTCTGAAGGCTCTGTCCAAAAGTTCCACTGAGTCATAAAGCCGCTTGCCACGCTGTCTTCGCACCTTGGCCAATCCACACGCGGCTGTTAGGCTGCGATCCACTATCATTCCCATTATTCCACCATTATCTCTATGCTGATTGGCTGACCCTGCGATCGGCGTTGCTGGTTGGGGTTGCCTGCAGCCTTCATGGAGCTGGGGAACCTCGGGAGTACTCAACTCATATGACCTCAAGGTGGAAACTTAGGCTGAAAACAAAGAGATGTTTTAGAAGGTTAGGCTTCAAGTTGATGGATTTCTAGAAAGTTCAAGTGTCCGAGATCACCACTACAGGGCAGCCAGGTGGCAAAATATGCGATCTGGATGTAGTGGGAAAAACGACAAAATCCACAAAATCGGACAAAGTTGACAAAATTGGAAAAGGTCTTCATGGCATGTATAGTCTTGATGAAATGTATCCAGATGGTTATAGTACGTGTACGCAAGCTATCTACAACTACAACAATGCGAGTACCTCTCGCAATACCTCTACCAGCCCCCGTACTTCGGCCTCTGTCCTTGTTAGTATCGTCCAATCGAGATACCCACTCACCGGTGTTATAGTGCAGGAAGCTGACCCGCACCACCCCATCCTCGACATCCTCCAATCCGCACACGTCGGCCAGTAGCCGGTGGCTGTACATATGACCGCTGCGGAACCCAAAAGCCGATCGACGCTCGACCTCCTCCACAAGGCGCTGGCTGCCCGCTCCCTGCACAACGAAACTAATAACCGGCACGCGGAGCTCCTTGCTGGCCGAAGGTTCACCGATAACATCAATCCGGCTATTAGAAGCTAGGAATTCCAGTAGAATCTGTTGCAGGCGCTCCTCATGCTCGGCCATCTGGGCCCAGGTCGTGCTAGGGTCGGAGCCAAAGTACTCCACAACCTCGGGAATACTCTGTGTAAGCTCATAATTAGCCGATGCGAGGTTAAGCTTCAGGTCTAGTGTATCTGTGGGCTTGAAGAAATGCCCCAGTGACTGGATCTGGTCGTGAACGCGTGATGAGGCATATAGTTGCGCCAAGTGTGGTCCATACACTTTGTACCAGGAGAATGCCTATGTAGTGGGGTGATCAGCAATGAACCAGTCACCCATAGGCTTGGGCTGCGATTTACGTAGAAATCCACGTCCAACGCCTTCACGTCAACCTGACGATGCGGAGCCAGGGCGACTCCATCCACACACAGCAGTGCCTGTACATGTTCGTGTGAGCAAGTACATGTGAATCAACAGATTTTGTAGCAACTCACACGAGAGTGAACATGAACAACGTCTGCAATATTTCGGATGGGACTGATAGTGCCAGTAATGTTGGAAGCATGAGGGCATGCTACGAGTCTGGTCTTATCGGAGAGCAGGGACTTCAACTCAACTGGATCGCACACTGGATTCTTTGGGTCGGAAGCAGCCCACCACTTTACGGTCAAGCCCAACCTCTCTGCTATGTGGACCCACGGGGAGGTGTTCGCCTCGTGGTTAAGTTTGGATAGGACCAGTTCATCACCAGGTTGGAATTTAAGCGCCGTAGCGAGATTGTGTAGTAGCTGGGTGGTTGAGATACCGATGCTGATCTGTTTCCGATTTCATGCGTTAGTACCCGAAGTCTGGCAGTTCTTATACTTCTTAGGAAGTAAGCGCCATTATAGTGCAGATACCTCCTCGGGTGCGGCGTTCGTGAACCCAGCAGCCACTTTGTATGCATTATCGTACGCATTAGTAGAAATCTGAGAGACCTTATAGCTGGCTCCAAGCTGGACATTCGTGTTCAGCAGGTAAGAACGGATGCTATGGCCGCCTCAGTATATGTAGCAATCTACAATGGGGTCGATTAGACTAACGAGTCAGCCACAGTATCGAGAACCTGACTCCCGCCTGTGGCTCAACAATAAGCATAATCTCAAAGTCATCGGGGCCATAAAAATGGAGGTTTGTCTCACCAGCGTTGTCCATGTACACTTGCTCCTGCTGCAGTGCAGGGAAGTGAGAGCGAGCTGCCGAAATATCGAGAGTAGAGGCCATATTGAATGCTGTCTGATTCTCTCGATATCTCGATAACGGAGGCACTCTTTAGGGTGTGAATAATTGCAAGATATGAAGGATATCCGTCCACTTAATAGTTGTCAAGCATAGGGCGCGCTGAGAGGGGTAAACAGTGGAGCTGTTAACGGACTTACTCCGGTCTCAAGCTCCATATGTACGTTGTATTTGAATTCCATTCCATTCCATCTCAGAGATCTGAGTTGGGGGACATGTCGACTCTACATCATGGAGCTTGCGGCAGCGCATCTACATGAACAGAGGAAGCAGGTTGCTTCACTCAACAGCCACCCACACTGCCCGCCATATCATCCCTCCATAAAGCAATGGAAGACAGCTAGAAACAGATAAATGCCTACCTGTTGGCAAACCATACATGGGCAGTCCTACACATAGCCATGGCATGGAAAACATGAATTAAATGCGAAGATTTTGCTTCCATCGGGTATATGTATGAAATCCAAAGCCAACAAAACAAGCCCCCGCAAAAACATAAGAGAATCCCGAAAGAACCACATAAGAGCAGCCGTATTCACAATAAAGATCAATAATCTCACTACCGGGAGCGCGAGCCCGCCGCCCCAGACCCTCCACCGGGAGAGGCATCATGGACGACACACAGCAGGTACTTCCGATCCGGCACGACAACAATCTCATGTTTCTTTGTGCGCATTCGAAGCAGCTTCACTTCCCCGTCCTCGTCCCGATCCACACCATCGCCGTCCCGGTCTTCCTCACGTGCTGTGCCCACCTCGTTCCCGTAGTCATAGTTAACATCCCAGTGGTTGTCGTTGGGTCGCTGCACAGTGGGCGTGGGCCGTGATAGCGAGACACCGAGTGCCTCGGCACTAGAAACAAATGCGAAGATGTGGGCAGCTAGTGTCTCGGCTTGCGAGGGTTGGTAGGGCTGTGACATGGCGGCGGGCGAGGCAGGGGATGGGTCTGTGGTTTGGGCGGCGGAGAGGGGGTTCGGGTCGGTTGTGGATGAAGGGATTTGTGCGGTGCGAGAGCTTCCATTTTCTTCGGTCGTCTGCGCTAGCTGTCCTGTGCTTTGGATGATGGATCCGTCTTTGCGGGAGAGAATCAAGGTGGATTGCACGCCTGGGCGGGAGGTGAGGTGTGAGAGCAGCGCGGTGACATGCTGGGGGACCTGCTGTGTGCGCTTCGGGAGTTTGTCAGAATAGTTGAGCGTATTTGGAGGCAGAAATTGTACTTACTTGTCCTGAGTTCACCATGATTGGGGGGTTCCGCGGGGAATGTGAAGTGTGTTGGTATGCGGTGTGGGGGTTATGGTTAGGGATGGGTTAGACGAGCACTGAGCACCTCATGTCTTTGCAATTGCTGTTTCCGCTATGTACTTTCCCTCGACCAGAATGATTCGAGCGCATGGAGTTCAAGACATTGACTGCTTAGGCGTCTCCAAAACAAATGACTAAGCATTGCAATGGGCACAAAAACATCCGCGGATAGATCGATGGAATCCTCCAGTAAAGATCTCTGAGCTCTTCAGGTACTAGCCAAATAATACCACAATTAATAACTCCAACTCTATCATTAGGATTTTGCGAAATAGTCTCAATTCTATGTGAGAGCTTCATACGATGCATTGCGTCAGCGTCGACTCTGGGAACTAGTTATATAGATCTCATTTGTTGTTGCTTGCAGTGATATATAACGTAATATTCAGGGCAACAATATGAATTAAAAAGAGAGTAAAACAAAATGGTATCATGGAAAATATAGGCAAAGATAGACAGGGCCAGGATATGTAGAAGTAAAAGCCAAAAAGATCATCACAAATAAATGAGTAACATCGTTCCGTCGGAAGTAATGAAGATGTAAAAAAAATAATATAAGGAAGAGAAAAAAGATCGTTATCTATCGTTTGCGGGCAATTCGAGTTCCACTGAGACTGGACTTGTCCGACATCCAACCAGACTCGATGTCTTCGATCATGTTGTCCAGTTGTTTGACGCTTGCCCGGCCACCTCGGTAGGGGCTAGAAGTCTCAAAACCGCTGTGCTCACTGCTGCGAGAAGAGCTGACCCAGCTGTCAGGCCGTGATGTATGGCGGCCGGGATATTGGTGCGCAAACGGAGCGTGTGGGGAGTTTGATGGCATGTTGGGGTCGAGACTGAGACCCTGGAGGGGGTTCTTGACTCCAGCGTTGAGCGCCGCCATAAGGGCGGCTTGTAGGATCTGGTTCTGGCGTTCCAGATTCGCGACACGGTCTTCGAGGTAGTGATCCATTTGAGGAGCAGCGCGGATGTGTTGACTGCCTTGAGACTCCCTCGATATGTGATTTGATTGGGAATATTGTGACTGAGGAGACGAAGTCTTCTCAAGACTATGGATGCTGCGGCTTTGAGGTGTCATAGGGCGCGCGGGATTGTAACGAAGTCGATTGCGGGAGGACATTTGCCGTGGATCCATTGTCTCATGTCCTCGGCGCGTTGGCTGGATGCGCTGGTAGTTGTCGGCCTCCCGGCGTGAGTATTTGGTGTCTATCTCTGGGCCAAAAACCTCATCGTCTGATGATGGAAGTGGGGACTCGGCGCGAGATTCAGGACGACTTTGTTGGTATGTTTCCGGGAAACTCTCATGTCGAAGGCTGCTCCCTGAGCTGTTGCTCCGGGATAAGGCCGAACCTCGGTAGGGCACCGGTGCAGGATGTGCCTCCATGCTTCTCATTGATGGCAGGATAGCCACACTAGGTGCAGGGTAGTTGCGTTGGCCAATCTTTCGCCCAGGAGGCGGAGGAGGTGGTTGCTGAGGAGGTGGAGCTGATGGGAGTGATGCAGTGGGTGGAGGCGACGGCAGACCGAATGGAAGATTCTTTTGACTGACTTGGGAATTGATGTGAAGCCCCTTCAGAGCAGCCCGTTTGCCATTGGACTTTGCAAGGGTAGAGTGTCCTAGAACGGGAGAGTCGGCCAAAGGCTGCCCCTCTAAAACCTTTGCATCACATTGGCTTGGAGGGCTCTCGGGAAGTTTTTGCATCCGAGGGATGCGCACGCTTGAAACACGTCCTCTCGGAGTGCAATGTTCCGGCGTTGGCTGATAGTGTTCCGAAAGCGAAGTGGTAAACAAGCTCTCCTCGTCATCGGCCATTGACCCTCCAGTATCGAGGCTGCCAAGAGTCGTTACCGGGCGCGAGTCAAGGGCACAAGGACTGTCGATAGCGGATTTGATCTCCTGGCCTTCAACCAATTGTGTCGTGGAATGAGAATGCAGGTTGGAAGACAATGTCTCCGAATCACTCACTCGAATAGAACGAGCGTTGGTGTCCGGGGTGGTCGGCAAGCATTTAGCTTTGGGCAGTGATGGCAGAGGCCTTGTAGGCGCCGGGAGAGGAAATGCCTGCAGCGTGCCCAGAGACAATGAGAGCGGTCGAATTGTGGTCTCATCTCGCGAGGCAGAATCCTTTGGCGCTTCTTCTATAGATAGTTGTGCTGCTGAAGAGGTCGCACAAGGTGCAAGGGTACCTGGGCACTTTGGTTCTGCCTCGCTGACGGGAGCATCTATGAAACCATCTGATGATTGTCTCGGATCATCTGGAACTTTGGGTTCGTTGTCAGAAGGTCCAATTCGTGGGCTGGGCACCGGGGATGCCGGCGATGCTGTGGTATTTTCGATCATTTGGTACCGAGGGATTGATGAATTTCTCCATGGGCCCCTGCTAGATTTGCGAGGTGTAACATCAGGGAAAAGTTTCAAGGTAGGCGACAAGGGTGTAACATTGCGAACAGAAGATTGATCTGACTGATTTCGCTTTTGGATATCAAGAGACGGTTTAGATTTTGACTCCGTCCCATCCACACCCACGGGTGCATCGACAGTGATTCGTGAGACAGGGTCGGCACGGGTACTCGACTCTGCAGAGCTAGCTGGCCGTTGGATTTGCTCATCAATTGACGTGTTCCTATAGGAATGACTGGTCGAAGCCAACGAGGAGGTTGGTCGGGTGATATTTTGAGGATTGGGGTCTGCTGTAGAACTTGACGTCAGGAAAGCTGAGGATTGGGAGGTGTGATCGGTTGGCTGATACGGTGGTGGCACTGAATCGTCCAAATCGGAGGTGAGTGAGACTGCAACGTCGACCATTGAGCCAAAGTCAGCAAGATCCAGAGAACCCAAGCAATGTCTCGTCTCAGTTGGTCGGCTGTTGCAATCGACTTTGGCTTGCAGCCATGGCTGTCCAATGCTTTCCACATCTTTCTTTGATTTGGAAAGAGATCGAGAGAGAGATAGTGACAGGCTTTCTTTTGATCGCTTTGCCTCCTTTTGTCCCTTTGACTCCTTTGGAGGAACTGCTGGAATAAGATATCCTCCCCGTGTTAATGCTTCAATTTGACGCTGTTGCTCTTCTTGCTTTGACCTGGGCGGCGATTCCTTCTTTGGGCGCTGGGCAAACTGCAAGAGGCGACGATGAAATGGTTTCGGATCCTGTTTTGGATCTGGCTTCGATTCTGACTTCGGTTCTTTAGGCGAAATAGGAACTGGGAGTGCAGTGGTTGTGTCGGAAGGACTTGGGGGTTGAGGTTGAGAGGGAGGTAGAGATAGAGGCGGGGGTTGAGAGGGCATATTTTGACTCTGAAGGAATCGAACCATGTCCACTAGGCTTTCATTTCTACCAGCTCTTTCAGCCGTGCCTGCTGATCGGGCTTCAGGTCGTGGAGCACTGCCGCCTCGAGGCCTGGGGACGACTAGAGGCTTAAGTGGTGGCCCAGTCTTCGTGGACGTCATGTTGGGAATCCTGCGTTTCGATGGAGGATCAGGTCGATATGTTCGAACGATTGGGCTTGGTGCGACGGCACAGTCATGCGGTGAATCAAACTGATGCATAGGGAGACGGGGCATCAATTACTGGCTGGCTTCGCAGTCCGGCAGTTCCCGGTTGTCGACATGAAAATCCAGGCTGCTCAGGTGAAGTAATAGACAATGCTATACTTCCTAAGTTAGCGAGATGAACCGAGACACTAGCTCGGGAGCGAGGCATGCTCACCTGCTCAAGAGGGCCAACACGACAGGGGCCTGGGAGGTTATATAGACGCGCAAGGAATATGATACGTCGACACAAGTTGACACCACTATATACAGGGGGTGTCGATATGTACAGAATCGACAAGAGTTGGGGAGGTGGCGTTCTTTATGGGAGGATCGAAACGAGCGACCAAAAGGCGAAACTGCGAGACGGAAATAGAGAGAGTTTAATAGGATCCCAGATAAGCTCTCGCCGTCCTTACTTGGAGGGGATACTTGAACTCGAACACAGGAGGAGTCCGTCCTGGGGGTAGCCCCTCTCGGAAACTGGAAAGGCACAGATATACCGGATGGTTGAGGCTAAAATGGTAGTACGAATCCGAAGGACAGGTCCTGCATATAATGAAAACGGGTTCGTCCAAAGGGATTCGTCCAGGCAAGGTCCTGTGGAGAACCTTTCACTCTAGACTCCATCAAACACACTGTGGCACTCGATGTATTGGGATCGGGACAGGGAATATGACACAGCAATTGTATGACAGACTGATGCGGCTGCATGTTGCCGTCTGGGATTCGCCTTTTTTTCCATTGTGTTTATTGTGGCAGGGACAATGCTGGCCAACCCCAGACTAATCATCAATTGAACTGCTTTTCCCGAATTAGCTTTTCTCCTTCTTATTCCCCTTCGACATGAATGCAAGGGGGGGAAGAGAGAAAACGTCAGGCCCTGTACTCCGGAAGTCCTCCCCACCTCCCCACCGGATATGAGGTATCAGATCAAACACCTTTTAAGCCACTTCACTTAGCGTGTTTTTCCGGAATAAAGCAAGATCACGAATGGGAACTGTGCAGATCCGAATTTTTAGGGATCCTCTAGACGGGTAGAAACAGTCGATCATGGCCGATCTTTGGGAAAAAAAGTACATGTAGATCGGGAAATGAGAGGGTAAGATAGCTCACACTCAATTCTTGAACTATTGGAAATAGATAGGGGGTCAATAAAGATGAATATTTTATATCCATATTGAATGATTTGAATAATGTACTCTGTACAGAGTACGGAGTACCAATATGTCAACATGTCAAATATGGCACTCCATAATCACAGGGATATTGATACATATGTATCTAGGTACAGCCCTGTGGAACGCTGATATCACTATTAATCTATACCGGCATTATAAGTGATAAAGAGAAAGTTAGATCCATGGATACGACATTTAATTAGAAAGAAGATTCTGCAATCATAAACTGAACTCGAGTTATCCCTTGCCTTGATGTGTCACACATCACATCGGTAGTACATCCCATCTCTACAATTACCTGCATTAATCTCCGAAAAAACGCTCTTCTTCATGCAGTGTTTGACTTCATGGTCCTCGATTCCCCAAAATCAAAATCAAAAGTATATGTAGTGACCTACGCTACAAGACATGTCAACTCTTCCCCTCTTTGTCGCAAACGTGTAAAAGGATACCCACTTGCAAGGCCGCAAAGAAACTATAACTAAGCGGATATGAGACAGTTTGTCGCGCACATATCGCAGCAAACAAAACAGCGAACACGTTCACTCTAAGGATTTTAGTCTTTGGGCCCGGAATCGATCGGGAATTGACTCGATGGCATTCCATACATGCATGTACAACATGTCAATGTGTTAGAGCCTGTCCAATATTAGGACTTTGATGTTTGTCTCCTTAGCGTTTCCGAAGAAATAGATGTCCAGTTCTCTAGTCCCACAATTTAAAATTTGAACTTCCCATGGGTAACATTAGATAATTCTCTTCGTGGCTTTCTGGCTCTATAGGGACGAATGACTAAGATCGAGGTTCCATGAAAAGATATATGATGTTCCAGCTTAAGACTTTGGCTTGGAGCTTCGGTATTGTATATATCTTGCTTGCCTGCTGCAAGGGCGCAAAGCCCACGACCGCCCCGGCCGAAGGGCGTACCGAAGGGTCCATTCGGCCCTGGTTGCAGTTTTCGCAGGGCGAAACTGTCTGTATAAAAGACAGACGCCGTGGTATCCATGTCCGAGCTGGCTTGAATCGGATGCGTGGTGGTCCACTGGTAGCTTTATAGGTAAGGCTCGCGAAAGGCACTAGGCCCCAGCCTAGGTCACGGCACCATTCTATTGGATGGATTTGGTTTTGCTCAACCTTGGCAGGACAATTCATGGGCCAGGTCCATACGCAATCGCTTCTTTTAACACCTTGCTCACACCGGATGATGCACGGCCCAATTCGCCACCTTCTTCTCTGGCGCTCTTGATTCCACGCTCGATTGCTGGCTGGAAACGAGTCGAGAACACGCGGTACCTATCCTCACGGGTTTCGTACATCTCCCCTTCCTCATCGCGCGGCTTCCCAAACAGATTCAAATATGCGAATGGGGTAGATGAGTCCGAGATCATGTGCTGCGCAGTCTGGCAAAGAGGGAAGGGCCAATCGGGACTCTCATCATCACCAGACATCTCACTATCCACACCGTCAATAGAAGGTTTTCCGATCCCCGCATCTAAAAACATCGCCAGAGCCCCAAGCGTTTTGACCATGGGCTTACCCTGGCTGCCAGACTTCCCAAATGAAGCCCGGCTTGAGGACCACTGCGATGACTCTTCGGTGTGCCAGCCCAACACGGACAAGAAGCAGTTGAGTGTTTTGATCCAACCTCCCGCGCACGAAACTGTCGATTCCCCCGCTGCCTCGACCATCCATGATAGAATCTCCACAGCAGAGCCACGGATGTCCGCTGCAAGATGCGTCATTCCTGCACGAACATAGGGAAGGAGTTGCGCCACATGGTCTTCGACATCGCCCGGCGGCAGGGTCCGCAAAAGCTTGAGGAGCTGGGTCCGTACGCTGGTGGCTCCATCGAGGATGAGCGGCAGCAGAGAGGGTAGAATAACGCTCACTGGTTGTGGTAGAGGCGAGTTTACTGGTCGAGAGGATATCGAAGTAGTCAGATAAGCGAGCGAGTCGCGTCGTTGGCTGTCGGACTTGGCGGAGAGGAGAGATAAATTATGCGTAAATGTAGCGTTTGAAGTCGGGGCGGCGAGGTGAAGGGACTGTTGGGTGAGGACAATTGCTAGTAATTGTGAGCATAACAAGACGTCAAGCGGCCATAAAATGTACATACACTTCGACTTGAAACTGGTATCGGTGTAGTTGTCGGGCTTCGCTTTGGTCTTCCCAACCTTGAGTTTAGGTTTCTGCAGAGGTTAGTAGGCTAAACAAAAGAAAAAGAGGATCGGAATTCTAACCTGGAAATCCTTTTGCTTATCCTTCTTCCTTTTAGAGCTGGACCCCATGGCTGCGAAAGTCAATTGATTGTTGAGAAGGCTGTCAGTGATTCTTTTTTTCGCTCTGATTATCACACGTGATATATCATATCAGTTATTGCCTGAGGCATGAACCTTCCTAAACAGGAAGTATATTGTGGTATTCTAGAAAATACATCTTTATGTAGGTGGTTGCAATGAGTTTCGGCTCATGAAGAGCTGTCTATATTCTATAACCTTTTTATTGCAGAAACTTGAGGCATACTTTCATACAAACGATATTGATATCTCTAACTCAACGACCCGCCCAATAGATGTATAAACATCTCTTGAAATCCCATCCTATGTAACAATTCATTTGTAATTGGCTTCCTATGCACCTGGGACTTTAGCTCCCACCTTACTCATCTGATTAGCAAGACCAAAGAATTCAATGACTTCCACAATCAGCAACTAACCACGAGATCCTCCACCAAGGGCCTTGGCCACCGTCTCCTGCGCCGACTGCAGCAGAGACTTGTCCCTCTCCAGCCCGTAATCTCGCTCTTCTCTCGGATCACCTTGTCCAAATTGCCAGATATTATCTGGTGTATCAGACAAGTGACGAGACGTCGCCTTCGTATCTCCTGCAGAACACAATCAGTCTATTTGGTACTTGAGAAACAACACGTAGTTTCACTCCAGATCAAACGTATGGACGATGCCCACGCGCTATCACCGCGGGAAATACGCACCGGGTTGGAACTGTTCAGCTATCTTCTCGCGTGCACTACTGGCAGACTCATGGACACGGCCGGTGACCCTATCTGTGGTATTCGTTTTGGTTGTGAATGGTTCGGAGGCTCCTGGTACGTGTGAGTTTGGTTATGCATGGCGGCCGGAAATTACTCACCCTCCGTGTTAGACATGTCGCCCTGTTGAAAAGAATCAGCTATGCCATGTTGGTGTTGACTGAGAGAGGTTCCATACTGCCTTTCCAGCTATCTTGGGTGTTAGTTTGGTTGCTGGCTTAATGTACTCTGATCCGACATGGGTTTGTATGGCGTAAAAGTAATATATTTCGAGGAATCTCAAAGAGGTAGTACCGCCCAACTGTTCGTCGACATGACGTGGGTTATCTCCCCGGCTTAATGTCCGGGGGTGAAGTTAGTTGTGATGTCATTGTTCGCTCAGCCTGCAGTTGACGATGGAAAAAGTAGCACTTAGGGGCTAATTACAGCCCAAGGGTGATAGGCTTAACATCGGGAGGGAATGAATTGGAGAAAATCATGATCATATTGAA